TTAATGCGACCGTAAGCTGGTATAAGTGAGAGGCTAGTAGGTGGCCTAGTTGGTATTATTGATATTGACTCAGCAGCCATACGGTGGACGACTTTTCTACAATGCGCATTTCTGGTACGTGCATCACTTGGAGCGGGCCTCTGCAACTCTGAAGCCAAACTTGTGCTGTGCGGCGCACCTAGCGGCGCAACAACTTTAATGTGTAGTGTTGACGGGTGCCACATGATTGTAATGAGTCCTAGCATACTCAAATGGCAACTCAACGCCTGTAGAATATCACAATGGCTAGGTGCAACATAACCTTAAAACCTCCAGCATAAAGTAGTCTCGGTTGAGAGCAGTTGTGGGGCTCTCCTGGAGTGGATTTACGTCCCATTTGGTTTGGTTGGTTATCGGTAGTTGCGTGTGTTATGACGGGGAAAATAAAGTATGCACATACGCGATGTGGCATTGCTAGTCAATCACACTGGTGGGAAAGTCTGCTTTAAACCGTTTTCAATAGCTGTCGAATCTCGTCGGCCAGTGGCCGAAAGAATTGCACGCCTGGCCTGCAATCCTCAGGTCACCGGTTCGAATCCACTTAGGGGCCGGCGTCCTCGCTGTATACTCGGCCCACGCGCGACCACCACCGGTCGCGCGTCAGCGAAGGTTCGGTGCAGTGTGCCACAGTACTGCTGCTGATTCATTATCGAATCTCGCATTGATACTGCCGTCACCGTAACAGCCCACTAGTGCTCAAGTCCTTCCAAATCGATTCTGAATTCTAAGCAATCCTATTACTACACAAGGAACTGCTTTTCAGAAAGCTATTTGGCAAGATGTTTAGCCAGAATTATGGATGCCATTGTCAACAATTTCACATTGGACTGCTTTGGTTGCGATGATTGATGTCTAACTTTAGGTTCTTGCGCACCAGAAGACTTGAGCATGTTTACTTTTCATTGGAATTGCAAAGCCTTTATACCCATCAACCTCGCAAAGAAGATTACATACTAATTTCACCAAGTACAGAACAATTTACATTCTAAACTATTTCGCTGTCCTCCACAATTAGGTTATAATTATTTCGAATACACTTCACAACAAAATCAAGACTTCCCTCAAACCGAGCGCGAATATGGCCACATTTTATTGCAAGGCTGGGTTGGTGAAGCTTTTCAGGACGGACCACAAAGTATTTTGTATGCGGTAGTGGAAAGTGTTCAAACGGGTAGATGTTTTAATCCCTTGGTAGATAAATATTAACATCAGTACTTTAGAAAAGATAACCTTGTCATGAAACGAAGAATAAGGAAAGTGCTAACTTTATCCGGCTATCTTCATGCAACAAGCCATCTCTTGCCTTCTAAGACACGAGTATGGACCAAACAGCAACGTGTTCATGCTAACGCTTGCCCTCTAACGCCTGCGTAGTCCATGATTGCGGTCAAATAGTAACTCTTCTTTGCTCTTCGTTATATAGGCTAGTTTAAACCACAAATATGCCCAGAGAACCCACACATCCAAATTTGAGCTTGCACTTCACAGCATTTCACTAAGTACAGCATGCTTTGTTCATGCAAGAATAACTTCACATCATTAAAAACAATAAATATCGACGGTCCACGCAGCTCCTCGCACACGCGGAATATGTTTGGAACCGGCCTGGACTTCATGAGTTCAGAAAGTTGCGACAAATAAGTTTTCGTAGCGTTTATTATGACTACCTTTCTCTCTTGCGGCAAGGGCTTCTTCAGGCTAGGCAGTTCGCTACACAGTTAGTTTAGACTTTTATGGCAAAGTAAGGCTAAGTTTGTGATAAATAAAACGAGTACGTGAGCAATAGCATTGCAGGTCAACAGGTCAGAGAGCGATTCTAGTCTAACTAACAAACATCGAACTTTACCGATTGATCCCCATCACAGGTCGTCCAAATGTGAGGTATTCCTCTTCCTGTTGATGTTGCTTTACGCTCCGACCTGAGTCCGTCCGCCAACGGTATCAGACTGACCGGGTTAAGACAGCTTGCCAGGCGTTCAACAATTCCAACCCACCCGTTCTGGTCACACAGTTAATAATCTCAAACGCCTCAACAATTAAGCTTAGCTTGTTGATACGAGGGTCATTCAATACATAAGGTGAATTTTTCGGTATAGGGACTTCTAATACAGGTAAAAGCTTACTTTTTGTTTATTTTTGTTGTTTTACTTCTTTTGCATACGGATGTAATTTCTTTCGCAGATTGAAAAACTTTGAGAGTTGTAGCGATAAACAAAGATGGCCGACCAAGAAGCATGCTCCAGGATTGAACAGGGGTCAGTTATCAAGTTTTTGGTTGCTGAAGAGTGCAAACCAGTTGAAATTCATAGGAGAATGTCAACTGTGTACGGTGTCATGTTTCAGCCGTAAAGGTGTCTACAAGTAGGCAAAATTGTTTAAAGAATGACGGAGCAGTGTTGAGGATGAAGACAGGCCTGGGAGGCCTACAGAAGTGAGGTCTCCTGAGGTGATCGAATCAGTCAATGACCTCATTCAGTCGGACAGAAGGGTGACAGTAGATGACATGGACAATTTTGTGTGCCGCCCCAACAGATAAGCTCAAAGTCCTTGCAATGTCATCCACTGTCACCCTTCTGTCCGACTGAATGAGGTCATTGACTGATTCGATCATTTCAAGAGACCTCACTTCTGTAGGCCTCCCAGGACTGTCTTCATCCTCAACACTGCTCCGTCATTCTTTAAACAATTTTGCCTACTTGTAGACACCTTTACGGCTGAAACATGACACCGTACACAGTTGACATGCTCCTATGAATTTCAACTGGTTTGCACTCTTCAGCAACCAAAAACTTGATAACTGACCCCTGTTCAATCCTGGAGCATGCTTCTTGGTCGGCCATCTTTGTTTATCGCTACAACTCTCAAAGTTTTTCAATCTGCGAAAGAAATTACATCCATGTGCAAAAGAAGTAAAACAACAAAAATAAACAAAAAGTAAGCTTTTACCTGTATTAGAAGTCCCTATACCGAAAAATTCACCTTATGTATTGAATGACCCTCGTATCAACAAGCTAAGCTTAATTGTTGAGGCGTTTGAGATTACTAACTGTGTGACCAGAACGGGTGGGTTGGAGTCGTTGAACGCCTGGCAAGCTGTCTTAACCCGGTCAGTCTGATACCGTTGGCGGACGGACTCAGGTCGGAGCGTAAAGCAACATCAACAGGAAGAGGAATACCTCACATTTGGACGATATTATCCCAATCGATGTTGTGTCCCGCGTCTAGCGCGTGTACGACCACTGCTGAACCTCTTTGTAGGGGTCTGTATCCATGCTCGTTTCTCGGTAGAGTCAAAGTACCTTTTGTCTTCTGCTATCCTGTTGCGTAGCTTTCCCGCTGTTTGATCGATGTACGTGTGCGCAATTGATAGTCTTATCTCTGGGAAGCGGATCTTGCAGATACACCAGTGCTGAACAAAGCGTTTGGCCCTTTTGAAAAACCAATCTTATTTTTTTCTTGTTTAGTGATCGCCGGAATGCTTCAAAGGCTCCTTTTTTCTAGGGGTTTCCTACCGTCCAAATCCATTTCCGTTGTGCATGGATTTGGGGCTCTTTGCAACTGACGTTTCATTAACCGCATCGGATATCCACTGTCTATTAATTTGCTCACCGCCTCCTTATGCGCAGATTCCTTGTCATCTTTCTGTTTGCACAGAATCTGGGCCCTGCGAAACAGAGGAAGCGATAACAATATGGATGTGGTTTAGCTGATCCGAACTGTAATGGAGTACTCCATCCGTGTCTCTCGCTTTGCGATATATCGTGGTCTCTAGTCGCCTTCCGTTCCTATGAACTAAGCAATCAAGAAATGGCAGTGTGCTATTGCAATATTCTAGGTCCATAGTAAAATTTAGGTTCTCATTAATAGTTTCCAGATGGGTTGGAAACTCCTCCTTCATATCCAGCTTTATAACCACAAATGTATCAGCTACGTAGCGCCATCACGTCTTTGGCGAACTACTGAAGTTTGCCAGCACCCTCCTCTCAAAATCTTCCATATACAGATTTACCAACACGGGAGATATTAGCGATCCCATGGCAAGTCCCTGTTCCTGAGCGTACAGTCTCGACTGAAACGTGAAATATGACAGACTAAGGCATACTCTGATTCCTTCGAGTATTTGATCTGCGGTGAGTTTTATTCGCTCTAACAGGCTATTGTACTCAGTCAGTTACTGCTGCGCTACCTCGATGCGTCATCTTTGGACACGTCAGTGAATAGCGAGCTTACGTGAAACTAACCGTTAGTTCTTCAGACGCGATGGTCAGACCTAATGCCTTTTGCGCAGACCCCTATGAATTTCGTACGAACCTATTTGTTTTCCCTGTTGGAGATTGCAACAAACCTGTCAGTTATTTGACTAGTTCGTGCGTCGGAATGTCGGTTTTTTATTCGGCAGTCCCTAGATTCTAGGTGGAATCGTTGATTTCGGGTATGCATTATACAAGTTACTCCTAGGTAGTTCTGCATACTCCTCAGGTAGTTTCTGTTATTAGTGGACGGATGCATGACGAAAGGCAATGATGTATTTGGAGTTGATGCTTGTAATCTTCCCGTATGGAGTCCTCCGAATTGTCCACATCAATGGTCAAATGCCTAATAAATTACGACGCACTATCAATGCCAGTGGCGGTTTTGCACTTTTTCATTTGTATTTTTGTGTGCTTCGCCACCGATCGTGATGAATTTAGTTCTTATCCGTTCCTCTTTAGTTATTATTAATTTCAAGATTGTTGTGTTTCGCGACATGAGTTGAGGTAGCTGGTCCTTCTGCGCCTCGGCTCATGGGTAATGGCTGATCAGTCGGCTGGACCGAGCTGACGACTCACCGTACACCCAAGACGACTGAAACCTTTCCTCGTGTGGCTTGCATCACCCGTTGTTTCTTTTTCCCCACAACTGGTCCCATCTCATAACTGCTCATAGCGTCCCGCTTCTTTCCAACTTCCTTTCTATCCTAGTATGAAAACCAAGCCTCGATTGTTGGCAAGTGGGTCACGAAGAGACCACCACTGACGCGACCTGCGTGGTCAGACAGCACCGGAAAGATTGAATTAAAGAAGGAAAATTTCTACCCTCCAGAAGGATGGCAGTGGGATGGAGATTGGTTCCTCGATCCGGAAATGTCAGTGACGTATCAAAATGTAAGTTTATTGGGATCCATTCGTTGTTCTTTTCTTTGAATTGTTTGCGATATTTCTCAGTTGCTTATTGTTCATAGGGCTTGAATTAAACATACAGGGCAACGATGCCTCAATATATTGTTGCTTAATTCCTCTAGGCGTACACCTTCATCCGATCTGTAACTCTGCTCCGTTCACTGATGCGTCTTTTGCAAGAATATCCCGTTCGCCATTGTCTGGGTTAGGACTTAAACTGTATATACCGTACCACGTCGCCACATTTGGTTAAAAGTGTATTATCGCCTACTTTACTTTCAATCCCAGTTTGAGGTTTCTTGTTTTGATGTTTGTGGTTTGCGACTACTTTTCTGACACCGCTTTCAACTCGATTCCTATACCCAGGAGACTGTTCCTCCTCGGCAGAGGAGATGGGAGTGCACCGCATTTTCTACGGTGCACTCCCACCTTAAAGTGGGTCGCCACTGAGTTACTGCCCTTTAGCACGTCTTTTATACACGCGTCCTCTTGGAAGCGCCGACCCTGCACGATTCATCGTTGCACCACCTATGGACATTGTCACGGCCTCGGAGTGCTGTCACACTGATGCAAACTCACTTCGGTGTGCCCATGTTCTGGGTCACGTTATCTCTTCACATTAGAGACGTACTCTGAACACCAATAAAAGCGCTCTTGCTCAGGATTAGGGTGAGCATTTACGCTGGGCACTAATTCCGGTCGCTTTGTCTCACTTCTTTGTCTTCATTGGTTTGTTGTTCACCACGTGTCGTTAGTTCATTTGCAGTGGTCCACGCTTGTTTTCCGTTACCTACTGCCCCCTCCTCCAATCCGCTCCTTCGGTAGTAGGAGCAAACGCGACACCTCATCAACCCTGAAACACTCATCGAGCCCACACCATTAGCGTCAATTGACTGATTCATCACTGAGATTGTGTGCGTCTTTTGATTGGCCTGTCGTCTGCTGTATCCGTGTCTGTTCTGTGCGCCAGCGCCCTCAGCCGCCGCAGCGGAGAATAAGCTACTTTGGAAGTTGTGCCCAAATGTTCGATTGTGAGGATCTTGACGGCAGCAGCACACTGAGGTATTTTGCACTTACTTTGGTTAGCTAATCCGGATCTGGGCGTCACCAGATCAATCTGATGGCGGCGTTTCGACTCCGATCAAAAGAGCGCTATTACTAATCAATCTTTTGATGTGACGTACTTGTCCACATGCGGTGTTTAATCCAGTGATTTATTTGTAAATCTGCTGGTAGTAAAGCCATCACTCCACAGGTTCAGTTGAGTAGGCCATGATCACGGCTACGGTCGCAATGATATGGAGTACGTTCGTGCCACTCTCACGGGTGTGTAGAAACGCTTACTGCTTAAATAGTACACTCCACTTGTCAAAAATTACTTGACACCCATACGGGGAAGCTGGTTATCATTAGGAAACCGATGGCAAGTTTTCATAGATCTTCGCTGTACTGCTTCCTAAGTTCCAGCCAACTTTGGCGCAAAATATAGCGTGTTGTACTTCTTTCCATGGGTCTTACGGTGCTGTTGTACTGTTAAGGTTAAAACAGCATGGCCTCAATTATACAAACAACATTATGTTACCAGTCAACATGGCCAACCTTGGATAGATTGTCTGTAGCTGCATCACCTTGTGGTAAGCGCATTCGCAGCTTCATAGTGCAGAATACTGTTAAAAAACGTCAGCCACTTGCTGTTTTGACGTTTATTGAGGAGCTGGAAAACAATTCACCTGTCTTGGTAGCTGCACTAGAACTGGTCTGCAACTGACGACATCAGTTCATGTACTACAAAAGCTAGAACTAACTATATGCTTCTCCGATATCCTCGATCCTCAAAGGACAGTTTTCTTGGCTTCGAACGCAGTGTATACGAGGTGGTTAGGGCCATCCTCATCTACGGTTATGATACTTACCTTCTTCGATCCGAAGACACCAAGCGTCACCAGATCTTGGCACCGTTGTCTACGGAGCGCTAGTTCTCTTTGACGGCATCAGTATATCCACAACACTAGAATGTGCAATTACAACAAGTGATGACGAGCAGTTTATTTCCTCGGATCAGTAAATAAAATTGGACAAAGCACAATCGTGCTGCATATCTACCATCAACAGTTACCGGTGATGGCCCTGTTTGTTTGCTAGATTCGTGATGTTGCGGACCTCGCGTGGTTCCGATGAACTTGCGCCCAGGTTGCATGATCCTGCCTCTCTAACACGCTCGGCAACACTGTCAACATGCGGCGATTCAAACGGTGTCGATCACAGCTGAGCTTTCCTGATGGGCACCGCCATTTTGTGCTAACATAGCTTCCACAGGCCACCTAAGCATTCCCCAGTGACTGTCAATTTGTGGCAACTCATGAGCCACAAACGTAACCCTCATCATCTTCACTAAGCACACAAGCATGGGGTTCTTTGACACAGCCATCGTAATTCTGATGTGTTATACATCTACTTTAATGCATCACTAATCCGTTTCGTGTAAATTCATGATGTGGTCACTTTTGAACTGCTAAATAATGAAAATCACTTTCTGCTGAAATCTTATAAATCAATCTCATTCATTCTTATCACAAAGGCATTTATGATTTGCAGCGGATAACCGTTAGATCCTGGTGTGATACGCTAGTTTCTTCCCCCCCCCTGCTCTTGGTACTTGAGTACAATTTGTGCTTGTTCGATGTTACGACATCCGTATCGGCGGGTGCTGATGTTATATCAACGAACTCCTCGATGCGGTTTAACACACATGAACTAATCATGTTAGTAATGCTATTGGGTGTATGTGCATGAGGAGAATGCACGAACTAACTGCATCACTTCATAACCTGCGTCTCCCTACTGACTGACTTGCTTAGTGGCTGAATAGCTGGCAAACACAGTGAGCGATGGATTGTTCCACTTATTGCCTGATTAACTGAGTGGCTGGACCGAACTAACTGAATCGACTGAGCTGAAGATATACCACCAATTCCCACCATCGACAACTAAATACTTCATTGTAATCAACGTGCCCCAGGAAACCGGAGTTGCTTGCTTCGTTTAGCTTATCTCCTGAAACAATTTCCTCTCATAGGTTTCGGCTTGCGAAAACTCCAGTTTGCTTTTATTTCTGCCTTTATCTTACAGGACACCGGTAAGACAGTGTACATCGAAGAAGTTTACTACAACGAGGCACGCACTCCAACCACATCATGGGCGCCTGCAACTCCGGAATACACCGATTCTCAAGGAGAGCCCCACGAACCGTTGGACCAAGTGGAACTGCCTGAGGGTTGGTCTTGGGTCGGTGATTGGGAAGTAGATCTGAAGCGAGTCTGTGACGAAGAAGGTTTTGAATATGCAGTCACCGCTTCGGAAGACAGCTACGTAGCAACGGAGAAGCTACACCACATGTTTCGTAGGAAAAGGATGGTGCGCAAGCGTATACTAGGCGACGCTGGATTGGCAGTGAAGCAGGAGGTAAGTTTGATGGTGAAATTATGTTATAGCACGATACATCGCATGATAATACAACAATACAATGCAATAATGCAGCAATAACCTATAGTAAGATTTGATATAATATCGTATCATGTGCACGTTTCTATAATTCCTACAGTCTGCAACTTGCAGACATATACCGGGTTGGACAGATTCTCACTTGTTTACGCGTGGGGTAGTACAACTACACACGAATGAGGATACTCGACATAGTCGTATTCAGTCACACGAGCACCATACTTCTGGGAAATCACTTAATCACCATTTCGTGTTCTCCCAACTTGCCAACCGAACGCATCAGTTTGGAATCCTGCAAGTTCCTACCCACTGGAAGCTGCCTCACTGACTCTGCCTTAGTGCGGCCGCCAGCGGATGGTGTTTAAGCGGTGCTGGCAGGGAGTAGGAGCCTTTGCTTCTGGCTGTCCTCACATGGCACTTAGGTCCTAGGTAAGACTTCCGCGTTTTCCCGTCCTTTTGCTTCTCGTCGAAAGAGTCGTATCCCTTTAGCTGTTGCTACATGGTAGTGAAGCATCTGTGTAAAACGTTAATTGCTGCTGTTGATCAATGGGTCTTAGTCCATCCGGCTTGAACTCTGGCCACTTTGACAGAGTCAAACCTATGCCATCGTTTTAGGACAATACAGTGGCAGAAGTTATAATAACACCAATGTGCATCGCGATCAATGTTGTAACAATGATAATTAGGGTTTGAAAAGTACAGCAAAACGAACAAAGCTGGTATACGATTGCATTTTGCAATGCTGCCTCAATATTGCCAACGACCACCTCATGCATATAAGCAGCACTGGGCGGGACTAAACGAGCTTGAAGTGGAAAGTAGATGACGAACGTTCAGTTTACAAGTCTGTGGAAGCCAGAGGTTAATAACCAACTGTTTGTGAAATGGCGATTAGTGCGACGTAACACAATTTTGTACTATCCCGTGATTTGTGGACGGTGGCGTTTTGCATATGCAGGAAACCGGTGGCCTATGCGAGCATGTATACTGAGGGGATGCTTGACTTTTTCATACAAAACACATTTTGCACTGCTTTTAATTATTAAATAAGGGGCTCTTCTTTTTACCAATGCAACTAGCTCCGAAATCACAAGGGAACTAGTAGACGGTATGAATTTGCCCTGACTAATTGAGCTTTCTTCATTTGAGGTATCGACGAGAACTGACTGCTTTTGTATTAATCGGTTTTCGCCCACAAATTCCCCCGAATTGAAGGATACTTATCAAGTACTCCTCTGAGCAAGAGCAGATAAATCGTTTCTCTCTAGCTCAAAACCGGCAGAAGAGCACCGTATTTGTGGAACGTGTAAAGCGTTGTGGCGGTATATAGTCAACGAGAACTACAGGATCGAGCCATGCGAACAGGTTTTGGGGAGAAAAATGACGATGGTAAGCGAGCAATAAGTAAAAGTAAAATTCATTCAAAAATCTTTGGTGCAAAGCCGTAGCAACTGACGTTTCCAGTGCACTCCACTTTGGAGGCAGTGTATTCCGACCTTACAACACTTATTCGTAAGAAAGAACAGGTAAAATAGACTTTATTATTGGGAATAACAAAGGATTGGTACCGCTGTATACATTGTCACATAGCACGGATTATAGTGTACGTTCTAACGTCATAAAATTTGTTTACTGGGGATGTGGGAAATTGTTTAATGCAAACGACTAAATGGAATCGTTTATCAGGGAAGAAGCAAGCAGAGAAACTTATTAAAAGCGCGGACAAAAAATACGGATTTCACTTACAAAGTACTTCAGAGAGAAAAATACACCAAATGGCAAAGTATTCAACAGTTAGAGCAAATGACAATCAAAAAACTTTCAAAACTATACGTAAGATAACTTGGCTGAAGAACACGGAGCATAGCATGTCTTCTACTCAGTGGCTCCCTTACGAATATGGTTAAATTAATGGAAGAGCATGTGAATCAATTTTCCTTAACCCACGACGTCATATCTACAGTTACTTTGCCAAAAAATACGTTCTTAATGGTAACCCGAAGAGGGTTACATCAACAAATAGGAATACAAGTGCTTTGGGAGGGAACATCTTTTGCGACTTGACAGACCCGACAGAGGTTTTGATAGATAGATGAGCTAGTATGTGTTTGACGCTTTTGAGTCCGCTGGTAGTGCTACTACTGAGTGCAGCTTCAAACTCAATCTGACGGAATGCGTTGTGGTGTCCCAAAAGCTCAGGTGTCGATCCGACCAGGCCTTTTATGTTGTCTCAAGCTCTAAGCACTGCACTTCATGGCCGGTCTAGTTCAAGTTCGTCCTCTCCAGGCAGACATAGTAGGAGAGGGGACTCAAACTTTTATTCTTGGTCGTCGGCCCAGGCCTTCATTTCTAATCTACTTATTTCCCCGGGGTATAACTTGTTACAAAGATTTCCAATTTGCGTTTGGGCGCAAGAGTACCCTTATATGTTTGGAATGCGATACTCCATTTCAAATCGAGCAGTGGTTTGGCCCACAACAAGCATCAACTGCTTACACTGCTGCAGTCGTATTGATTAGTAGTATGCATCGATACTTCTTGCGCTCGGCGCGCCAGAGTTGACATTCCATCAGTCCCACGGAGAGGAAGGACCGAAATTATAAGGATTTTACCTCGATCCGCTCTATGTCGTAGTTGCTTACAAGTCATTAAAGTCCATCGTCATCGACTATGACCCACATCGTTGACCTGTAAGTGTAGATTCGTGAGATCGTGAGGGGTTCAGGTTTCTAATAGTTCCAATAGTACGAAGCAATTCTCAGGGTTTTCAGCATGTGTAGCAACTGCAGATTTGAGCTGGTTGTGACGAACCCTTATCGACCTTAAGCTCCCATATTATTCTCCACCAGCTCGGTGTTCCTCAATCCCACCACAATTGAAACTCTGAAGCCCGTAGAGTGTGTGCTCCTATGCGGAACGGTGGTATCCGATTCTCAGTTATGTAGTGGAGATAGCCTACTCTGGTGACTGGCTACCAATGAGTAGCATAATGCACGCACAAAAGTGGCCGCAGCACTAAGTAACAAGCTAGTTGCACATTTGCTTGTCGTGCAGCTACGAGCTGTATACATGAGCTGAAGTACTGCTGCGGAGCTCTAACCTAGGAAAGGGGTGGGATTCGAACACGGATCATTGAGTGCGACCAAGATTCCCGAATAATCTGACCAAGAATGTCCTAACGCACCCTAAAATCAACAGAAAGGCAAAATATGGCCATTCTAAGGAGCGTAAGTTAAAACCCACACATAGAACCGTGATGGATACGGGTGCTTTCAGTCAAGTTTAGAGTCGTATATAAGCACACGAAACTCGCAGCACAATATAATTGTGCGTGTGCAATTTAATGCATTCCACTAATCACTGTTCTGCAAGCCACTGTGTTCCTCATAGTTCTCTAACTGAATATCTAAAACACAAGTTCAAGTTCAAGTGGGATTAGAACAGTAGGAAAATCCCGCGAAGCTTCCACCTTCGAAAACGGTGTTGATCCAACAGGGAAACCGGCGCCTTGATGTGCCAAAGGAGAGTCAAATTAACACGCGATTCACATGGTCAACCAAACAATGCCTGCGTGACCTGCACTAGCAGACCCCGCTATGCCGGCCACGTGAAGAATAAAAGAAAACAGTAGTGTCAATAAAGGAAAGGAAACAGAAGAAAAGATGGCTTTGGACAGAAACTTGAGTTCACCCCTATGTTCATGGGTATTTCTCCTTACAGTAGGTGCTAGTAGATCCACAACAAGGGAAATGTTGTTTATAAACTCATTTGTAGCCACAGTAAGGTTGTGGGTTAGGAAAGACGTATTCCAATTCATGGTACCGATAAGTTCATTAAATGCGTTCCAGTCCACACGATGGAGGTTACGAATGGGTTTTAGCATTTTACTTGATCGTTTAGGTAAATCAATAGTCATATCACAAAACACCGTGTTGTGATCACAGCCAGGCAGTGGATTATCAATGAATGTATAAACGTTCGCGATTCCCATCGTGAATACAAGGTCTAAGGTAGTAGCACTTCTAGTTGGCTCTCTAACATGCTGAGTCCAGCCATTGAAGTGGATACATGCAATAATTTCCTCAATCTCTGCCGTGTTTCTGAGTGTAGGCAGCGTCCAGTTAACATGTGGTAGGTTGAAATCTCCACACATAATTTTGGATTTGTATGTGGTGCTGGAAGCAACATTGATCATATCGATTAGCTTTTGGGTTGCAAATTGTGTAGTTCGGGGCGGCCGATAGATACAACCCACTAGAAGACCAATAGATGGGATCACTAGCCATAGTGTATCTTCTAAGTCAATGAACACAGGTTGATCTGCAGGAATGGCAGTCAGGTTATTTCGAAGATATATGGCACAGCCACCACCACGTTTGTGCGAGCGATCCTTGCGGAAAAGCTTATAGCCTAGGATGTTAAGCTGAGAATCACTAATTTCCGACGTGCACCAAGTTTCAGTGATAAAAACAATATCGGGGGATCTCATAAACATAAGTGTTGAAAGTATATCTAATTTAGGCAAAAGGGAACGTAGGTTAATGACAACAGCTTTGAAAGACATTGTTAACATGGAATGAAAGTGGTGGGTAATGTTTGTTTCATCGTCATTGTTTCTGAGAATTGTGTGTTGTGAGGTAGCTGAGGCACACTGAGCTCCAGATGGTACTGGATTGAATGAAGTACATACTCTAGTAGTTTGATTAATCTCTGGTTCATAATCGTACGTGATAGGGGCAGGATTGGTGGGAGAGGAACTGCTGGTGTGCGATAGTCTAAAAAAGGACTGACATCCGTAGTATACAGGGGTGGGGGGATGCTGAAGTCGACGAACTCATTTTGCTTCGGTTTGTATTGTTGCCAATTGAGTAATACAGCGGGTGGTGGTGGGTGAATTTTGAATGTAAGTTAAAATGAGTTAAAGAAGGGTAAACCGTAGTAGACGAGTAAAGTCTAAGACATGAAGGGGAAGACTTTAAACTGCAGACCGAGAGCGTCAAGTCGATGCTCGAAGTCTTTCGCCGTCGGTGCCATCACGACGTCTGCAGGCAGTGCGTTCCAATAAGCTATGACCCTATGCGATAACCAAAAAGCTGCCCAAACCCGGTCAGACCGGGGTTTGTACAACTTTAATGGGTGGCCACCCAGGGTTGGCTCTCGAGTTGGGCGAAACAGTCTAGTCAAATCAGGACCAATCTGACCCATCAGTATACGATATGTGAGGACCAAGTCGCCTCGAACCCGCCTGTAATACATGGAAAACATATTTAACTTATGTAGCCACTCCGGGTACGTCAGCTTCTTTAATCCGTGCACCATTTTCGTCACGGACTACAGGACTCGTTCAACTGCCATCTTATCACGAATCGTGCTTGGAGAACAAGCCTGAACGCAGTATTCCAAGTGCGGCCTTACAAAGGCTGGAAATAGTCTAACGAACATTTCGGTGGTCATGATCCTGAATGACCTGCGGATCATCTACAACCTGTTGGAACTTTTGCGAGCAGCTCTCGTCCAGTGTTCACTGGACTTAAAATCAGATGACAGCAAAACACTGAGATCAGATTGGAGTTGAACTCGCAGTACCTCGTTGCCGCCAAGCAAATAACCCGTCGGTGGGTCATTCGGACCAACGCGTTAAAACTGAACATTTCGCTAAATTAACGGGCAACTGCCACGAAATTGACCAGTCCAAAAGCCTATCCAGAGCCCTCTGTAGGGTCAGTGGACCAATCGGATAGTCTATCGTGAACCAGAGTTTCAAGTCGTCCGCAAACATTAGGCATGGTACACCCAATTCATCAGGTAGGTCATTAACGTATAAAGTGAAGAGAAGGGGGCCACAAACTGAACCTTGCGGAACGCCACTGAGAACACATTGGCGGAAGGACAGGCTTGAACCCATCCGCACACACATTTCCCTTCCGATTTGGAAAGCTGACATCCATCCTAAGACTGGTCCAAAAATACCATAGGAATTCAGCTTGTACAAAAGGCGTGAATGTGGAACGGTGTCAAAAGCTTTGGAAAAGTCAATGAACAGTATGTTCACTGTCTTCCCGCAATCAACGGCTTCGGCCCAGTGTTCACATGCCGGTAACAAGTTAGTAAGGCAAGAATAGCCCTTACGAATGCCGTGCTGAGAAGGATTAAGCAACTCAAAAGCTTTCAAGTGTCCTTCAAGAGCCTACCTCACGAGCTTTTCCAACAACTTGATCAGCACGCTCGTCAAACTGACCGGTCTATAGTTATCAGGGAGGTGCTTATCACATTTCTTAAAAATGGGACAAACAATAGCCTCCTTCCAGTCCTTGGGTAAAGAGCAGCCTCGTAGAGACTTCGCAAAAGTTGTGCAATCGGACGGCAAAGTTCATCAGCCAACTCGTACGAGAGTTTGATATGAATAGCATCCCCACCGGCAGCATTATTGGGATTTAATTGCCTCAGAAGCCTGAGCACTTGAGTCTCCATTATAGAAACCTCCTCCAACTTGGAGTTCTCAGGAACTTTTGCCTGGAGGCTGATATGCGGCGGCTGTGACTCTCGAACATAAACCCCAGCATACTGTCCTCCGAAAAAACAAGCTTTTCCGTGATCCGTGACAACAGCAGTGCCGTCAGGGCCAAACAACACTGGGATGCACGAGTTCATGTTGCTTCGCCTTTTGACATCAGCGAAGAAGCGTTTCGGGTTTGATGAGGCTATACGACCAAGCTCTACTTCATGCTGTAGACGTACTTGGTTCGTAGGACGCTTCCTATTGTAACAATCAGTACTGAATGCTGTATTGTGGGAGCAAGTAGAAATGCGGATATGTACAACACTATAGAAGTATGATCAGAAACATTAAAAATCTGTGACATGTCAACAAACTGGTCGTTTTTCATGTTTTAACATGATATCGTAAAAAGTCAACGTATAACTCACAATAAATTGGGACTCACAAATGTGGGCTATCATTGTCAGTGGGTAATCGTTCTCGGAATCTAACATTGGATAAATTTACATTCAGCAATGCTCTAAACTGCTGCACTAAGTTTTCTTCCACAATATGCTCAGTTAAGCTGTTTTATACATCGACCTCTCGCCGTTCAAAGCACAAGTGATGGGGAACTCGCTTCGAATTTGGAACCACAAGCTTTTACTGTTGCGGTACGCGCAACTGCAGCAGTAGCCTACGCATGGGGAAGGCACCTAGATACAAAATACTGTAGGTGATGGTGAAAGCGACTCGCATCCGACGATAGGCCATGGTATGCGTTCAGTCCCAGCCTCTCGCACCTAGCCTCGTACGGTAACCCTCGCAAACCGGGGATGAGCTTAGTAGCGACGTGCTGAGCCCGTTCAATCTTCTACACGTCACCGCAAGTGATCGGGCAATAGACGGGCGAGACGTACTCTGATAATGGAGCAGTTGGAACGGTGATGCGGACAGAAGAGAACATGATCTTCACGACTGGACTGGTCCCGTTGGTTGACGGTTGTTTGCAAACTGGTGTAAACACCTCATCGCTTGTGATTTGCTTTTCTACCTAACCCAGAACGGCAGTCTCAAGAAGTTTGTGTGCTGTTCGCACAATTATGTTGCAACCGATCTCATTACAGGGCTTCGAGTGACGATATCAGGGACCGAATGCGGCTTCACACAATGCGTATTTACTGAATTACTTTTGCTTTTCTACTTTTAACTCGTTCGCCAAGTGTATGTTTATTTACTTTCTCTAACTCTATTTTCTTAGGTTGTCGGGAGCATTCTTGGTCAGAAACGAGTAAGTGACTTATCTATGTGTACTATTGCCGAAAGTTTGCTCACAATAAATTTGTTTCTATTAATGCTGCTTTCTCGTTATTGCAGCTTTTATTTGGTGCCGTTTACAGTTTCTATTAAATGACGACTGTTAGTTTCCTTAATCCTCAACAGGCTATTGGTAGTAATAACTACCTGGTCCAAAGTATACTTTTCGACAACACATTTTGCGGTCCTCGAGCTGACAGCTGTTGATTGTTTAGATTTAATAACACCGATCAACTCAAATAGAGTGCGACACGATTGAAACAACATGCATGTCTTAGGACAATTTTCGCTTTAAGATTAACTGGGGGTCCAATTTCTAAACTGACAGCTAAGTCCGGAAATCCCTACTTTTTGGTTAAATTTAAATAACATGTTCTTGGTAGCATCAACAAATTGGTAACCTAAATGAAGCAACTAGTGTGTAGAGTGGGCAAAGATTTCTCATCAGGCAGGTTAAACCGAAACTTCGCGAAGTATTGTGACTAACATTTTTAGATGGACAATTTGTGCATTAAACATTGTTGAACAAGAGAGCAGCATGTGCTACTGCTTGGTTGTGTCAACCCTACATGCTGATATTAGGAGAGCCGTTTGAAAGATGGTAGGTCGCAAATGCACTTACAACACGATGTAGTAAAATTGGACAAGGTATCCGGAATTGGATGCATATGATGTAAGAGAGTTGTTGGGAGAGGTGGTAGAAATCCGCTAGAAGAAAACCTGAAGCATAAAATACAACTACTGTGAACGTGAAATATACACAATGGTAAGAACTCACATGAGGAACTAAGCCTATAATTGTAACTTGAAGGAATGGCGGGAAGTGCAGATTCCAAAGTGGGCCAAATAAATTGCGCATCGGTGAATCGAAAGTAATGGTGTAAAAATAATATGGTTGAGGTGCGATGATGTCATATAAAACGGATTAACAAGTTATGGTTAATGCTAATAGTAAATAACAGTCGGATTGCTTACGTTTCTGCAGAGATGTAGCTGCGTCACTGTGGGTCATAATTCCAAAGAGGCTAATTAGCCTGAATATATCCAGAGTAGCTGTGGATGTAACAAAATGTAGGGACCTCAATCCGCTATGCAGTCGCTTTTTGTAAATAGCCAAAGTAAGGGCACACACAACTGAGTTTGTAGGGGTGTTCCGGCCTTGGCAGCTTTGGAGGGAGATATAAGTTCGTCAACTATCCATACGACTGTATTGTTAACTCAGTTTCAGCCTATTGCCTCTGATGTTGCTGTTCGAACTGGGGCATACGTAGCTGGGGTCGCTCAGTATTTGGCAAACTAATCTGAGGTCTCCAAGTAGCACCCTCTGAACACTCCGAGTTTCTTCAATCTTTCTTGTACGGAAGGTAAGGCAAACCCTCGACTTTTTACGTCGTTCGACGTTGCGGGGTATCGAGCGCTGCGAGATCGTGCTTTAGCCAAGGTTGCTAAGCCTGGATAACGTATTTGACGTGGGGACGCACGTAAGCATTGAGCATCAGAGAGAAGATAATGAATGAATCCGAACTCCCGTATACCATCCGCGAGTGACCAACATACTAAGTGCATATATTGAAGCGGGCTCTGACTGTCTAGAACAACTAAGATCGTCCTTTACCAGCACACCGAGGTCATTTTCCAGAGTGCTTTCATGCAGTTCGTGCACCCCAAGCTTGCAGATGTAGGCATGTCAATAGCCGATGTAGGCGCCGCGACACTCGTCCACATCCAACGGTTGTGCGTTCCTCACAGGCCAATTCCAGACCTCATCAAGGTCGCGCTGGATGATCTGGGGCTCGTCCAATGCCGTGGTCGCCGGTCAAACCGTAACGACCTCCGCTAGGTCGTTAATGAAAAGTAAGAACAGGCGAGGTCCAAGCACCAAACCCTGCGGCACACTGCACTTCACCAGAATCGGGTCGGACAGTTATGTTAGGGCTCTAACCTCTAGTTGCCGTTTGCAGAAAGTTACCGACCCATCCTAATACTGGATCTCCGATGTCGTAGTGCTGAAGCTCTTGAAGCGGGATTCGATGCTCCAAGGAATCGTACGCTTTCGAAAGTCCGTGTAGAATACATCGATTCCTGTCCTTTCGTCGACAGCTTCGGTCCGATTGTCACTTCTATCTGTAGATTCCTGGCACATGATCGAAATTGGCGAATCTTGTGGTTTCCACTGACTGTTGAATAGCCTGCCAGAAACTGTTGTGCCGCCTCCAACCGGTTCACCCCGCCACAAAATGAGAATACAAAGATCTGCCGAAATGAGGGATTCGTATTGTACCAGAACATAGCGTAAAAAATAGTTTGAAGGCAACTACTGCTACATTGATATTGGTGATGCTAATTAATGCTAATTAACACAACTCGTACGGTTCAAGTTCAGAGTTCAACTTGCCGCTGACCCCACATTGATTCACGTTTTCATCTCTGCTTGCGTTCAATCTCCAATTGTAAATCGACCGAATATTGCGCCACAGTTCTCAGCCGGTACGCTGACCGTAAGTTGGCTCACTGTAACAGCGAAACCCCTGCTTCTCCGTCGGAATGGTGCCGTAACTTTCCAGGTAGTGAGTCTGCCATGATCACTTCATGTCTTTGGTGAGCACAGGGCGAAACATTACCGGACCTTACTTTGCAGTCCCAGATCGGCTCTATCCCTTGCGAATTGCGGTGATAATATCCCGTTTCCACTTTAACGGATCTATGTTCTCGTCTAGACAACGCTGAATCTGGAAAGTGGTTGGGTTAAGTCCATAGCTGTTACCTTCAGTGCTTTTGGGGTAATTTTATCCACTCAAGGAGAGCTGTGTGTATGCAAGGCCGTCAGCTTTCTCAATCTTTTGTGCAGTGAAGGTGACGCTTAATAAAACTGATGGAGTCACTAAAGCAGGAAAAGCGTGTGAGGCTTGTACTCCATGTAAAGTAGGTGATTACTGGGCCTGTATGACGTTGACCGCCTTTCTCGCTGTACGTCTATACCAACCAACCGTAGCGAGTAGTGGGATTTCGCGCTGCGCCTTACGAAGTCCATTGACTTGTTTGCAAAGAAGCTTGTGGTTCGAACGTACTTGTTTCGTTAGTACCTGCTGGTTCGTTCCCGTGTCCTCACAACCAACTGCACACAGTAGTTACGTCGAACTGCGTATGCTCTCCAAATTTCTGAGTTGCAACTGTTTCTGTAAACACGCCCTGTCCGATCCCTCAGGACCATATATTTTCGCGTTCGGCTTCTCAAAAAAGATTTTGGTTTGAAAAGACGATGGAAAGCTCTTGATTCTGATATTTTTGCAACTAGTGACGTGAGGGTTTTTAAGGATGTTTCTTGGGATGTTTCTAGGTGCATTCAGTTACGAATGCCCAACCAACGTTTTCAATGAATGCGGGCAATATGTGACAATGCGTAATAGATTGTATCTTTTCGGGCTGTGCAGCCATATATTCGACCAAGCAAACCTTATCGAACAGCATTGTCAGTTACTCGCTTCGGCCCAAAGGGCTGCACACATTTAGCCCATTAACCATGGGCCGATCGCTGTTGAGCAATAGATGTAACATTGATGGCTTATTCGTTGTTTTCTATCTGCTGGGAATGGTGTGTTGCTTATACAGGGGTGTGCCTGAAGTTGTCCCCTGCAAACTGGCTTTGAAATGTTCTCTTTCCGTTGCTTGGGATTCCAGATCATGGATCCTGTAACAACCTGTAACAACGATGTTGCTGTACCTCTGATTTATCACAACACGAAAGGCCGATATTGGTCCGTGGTCCATTATCCGGAGTGGATTCGGGTGTTCGTTAAACCACGGACATAAGGCAAATGTCGTCGTCCCTCAGCCGTAGCTTGCATCAAAGGAGATCTTTGATACACGTTTGGGGATAATCTATGAGTCTACATCGATGATTTGTTTTCTACAAAATGATTACTCCCTCCCGTACACGTTCCGTCGTTCCGAATGACATACCATTTAACCCACGTTTCGGGGATCATTATGATATCTCGAGGCTGTGAATTTTGATGATGACGGAGTCCGATCAACTTACTAAAAAGGCCCTGTGCGTTAGTATACAAGTAGGACAATTTCTCAATAACTATAATAATAATAATAATAATAATAATGTGTCAGCCGTATGCCGTAACGGAGTTCCGCTGCCATGCGACCACCATCAGTCGCACACGGGTTGAGTATACCGCGAGGATACCCACCCCTACGAGGATTCGAACCCGCGCTGCAAGGTTGCGAGACAAGGTCGTTACTTTCTAACTAATAGGGGGCTGGCGGATGTTCTATTAAGGATGGAGATGGTGCCCACCGTTGAGCGGTCAGCCACTTGCCATCTTTTGTGGAGTGGTTCGCCTTTGTGGTTCCATTGGGTTATACGACTGATCACAGCTGTCCGGGTCCTGATAGTCTTCCGTATTTAGTCGTATTTCCTAGGATGATGAGGTTGCTATTATATCAATCTCTTCAAAGAGCTGTATGAGGGCAAGATTCCCCAATTTTTCCGTCCCTAATGGGTCTTCAGCCACCCGTGGCCATGTACCCTCTGCCTTTAACCGAATTTCTTTAAGCAGCCTCTTGCGGAATTTAGACCAGTTTTCCAAAATAAGCGGCTTCAGTTGCTCAAATTGAAGCGTTACCTTCATTAGCCTAGGACCGTTACCCCTGTAGTTGGGTGACACCTGAAAGTTTGTCGACCGCTTAGCAACGATATTCTCTAGGGGGAGTTCTGGTGGATGTAACCTCATCGCTCCCGGTCTTGTGTTTCCGCTTCCTCAAAGGTGGATGTTTGAAGCCCAGGAACTTCGTAACCGATGGTAGTCATTTTTTCCTCTGATTTACGAACTTCTGCACGGTTGCTGTTCTTTTTCGGACGTTCCTTCCAAGGGATATGCGGAAGTGTGCGCACCTCACGTGCTGAGTTACGGAGCCGGATCGACGAAATGGTACAGCATCTGTGTCGTCAACAGAATTCAA